CTTAAATTTTTTAAACTAAAATTTAATAAATAACCAAAGTTTAGTTATAACAACTAAAATTTAATTATAAAAACTAGTATAAAAGTCTTAGAAAAAAATATTACTTTTAGGAATGTCTAAATAATAGAATAACAAAATTTTAAAGAATCTAATTATTCTCCGCCCTCTTTTGTAAGTAGACAATGCATGCCTCCTCAAAACATTTCTTAGAAAAAATATGTACTTAATATTAGAAACACAACAAATAAGAGAATAATGAGTATTTATATATGACCCTATTATTTTTCTACAATTTGCCAGTAAAGTGTGGTCCTTAATGCCGCCCTGAGTGAGGAATCCCAGCATTTTACAATGGGGAACTACCTGTTACAACCCCGTCTTTGTTAGTTTTACAACTACAGTAGGAAAGTGACAGAGTCATAAAAACCGATCGCCATGTGGAAGACTATACTTCATGTAAATGTAATGTAATCACAAATAAACTAAATTCATTGCATTATCTATAAACAAGGATTTTTATAATTTGATAAAAATTAAATAAACTCTCACCTGTAAGAACCTCCCCGGTTTGAATAAGATCATAAAAGTATTCAACACGTTCACTTTCATCTAAAACAAAACGAAGTGCAATAAAATGTAATCGATTAAGTTCAATTAAAGTTAATCAATCATCTTATTTTTTTTATTGTTTTAATTTTTTATATTTATTTTTTTTTTAAGACATGGATAAGACATCAAAAATTGATGATAAAATTAGCCTTAATTCAAAAAAAAATCAGGACACAGGTTCAAATTATGAAGGATTGTTTTTTTTTTTTTCTTATTTTTGATCACGTAGAACCACCCATTGGACACAACGTCACCTAATTGTACTCTGTATCTGGAAACACAAAGAGAAAATAGATATGTCTAAACACACAACCCCTATTTTTTTTATTTTATTTAATTCTTAGTTTTTTTTTACTTCAAATCTGAAATAAATTGAACTAAATAAAGTTAAATGAATCGAATGAGTACATGTTATAAACTAAAAAAAATAATAAATCACTTTCATATCAAATAATTAATAAATAAAATTTTTAACATGTACTCAAACTGTTTAAGAGCTTTTTGTTTAATTAGGTCATTTAAAATTAATTTTTTGGTTCCATTTATAAGAATCCTACCATGTAACCGCGCAGGAAACGGTTACAGCTTAACAGACAGACGACTCCGGGCATGGTATACGTTTTAGACCCAGTCGAATTCACATTCTGCAACATCTCAAGCAGACCGAAATATCGCGTATTAGTTCAAAAATCGTGAGCAGGAATCCAGCTAAAAACGTTTGCGATCGCTATAAGCTACATTTTAAACTTACCGGCTTGCCGGAGTTGTTTTAAAGGCGGCTCCTCTGTTCCCGGTACGGGGGGCTCCGGTTCACTCTGTAATTGAGGACAATTGGTAATCGAATCAAACTGATATTTCAAAACTTACGATATTACTGTCACCGTTTAATTGGACGGGCTCTTCTTGAAACGTCGTCATTGTTATTAATGTTTATTCAAATTGTTATAAAGAAGACGACACTAAACACAAACCACACAAACGGTTCGGATTGCAGCAAAAATGGCGGTTAAAGGTGGTTAAAGGGGTTATAATAGCACACCGGAAATAATGTTCCGATCAATATCACTGTAACTAATTTCACGTTAGTTAACAATTTTATCGTAGGCGTTTTTATAATATTACCCCAACGTATTTATCAACATTTTATTAATAAATCAAAAAAGAACATTTAATAATCTACAACAAATATTAATTTAATTAAATTCAAAAACAAATAATCTTTACCTCAGTAACAAAAAAAATCCCTAAAAGTATAACCTCAAAATCAAATTTACACCAAGTGTTACATTAAGTTATGAATTTTTCTTTAACTCGCAAATTCGCGGTTAGAATCTTACACAACTGCGTATTTCGAAAGTCGATATTATCCAGAAATATAATGAACACGTCCGCGGCTCTCCAAAAAGCCAACGAAGAATTGGAAGATAATCCGTACTATAAAAAGTATGCGGATAAAATCGCGAAATTGCAACAAACATCACCGGAGGAGTTTTTGAATAGGATTGAGAAAAGAAAGGATGTTAAAGAGGCCGAAAAGCCGAAGGAGAAACAATTTTCCTCATTATTACAACCGAAAAAAACAATTTCTGAATCAAAACAAGTTGAAAATGAACCTTTGGATAAGATTATGAAGGTGGATTTGATCAAAGATAAAACTGCCGATGAGATCAAAACAATTTGGGAGGCCTATCATATTCAAAAAGATGTTATAGCGGCCACAATTCCAACAAAAGATTTTAATACGATTATTGAGGAATCGAAAAATTGCCCGATTTTTTTATTCCCAATTCCGAGAAGTCAAGGATTTGAATTTATAATGTGTGAATTTCAGGGAAACTCAGTTCATTTCACACCATTAATTTGCTACCAAGTAATTTGATATAATATTTGATATTATGATTACAACTTGATTTTGTGATTTTAGGTTCATAAAGAAAATTCGCCGGAATGTTTAACGATCAATCACTACACTGAATTTAAAGATGAAAAAGGGATTGTTTTAATGCGGGGTGAATACGATAAAAATGTTATTACCGGGAAAGAAGCGCAATGTTTAGCTAATCAATTACAGCTTTATTACGATAAAAGGGATCCAGAAAAAAGCAAATTATTGAAAATTTTTAGTCAAAACCCTGATGAATTTAAACATACTGATTTAATAAAACAAATTGAAAATATTTCGTTAGGTTAAATTGTTTTATTTAAAATTAGTTTAAAAATACTTAATATATTGAAATATTAATTAATACACGTTGTATTTATTTATGGTGACTTTTTAACGGATGTTTTCGAATATAAATCGGTTTTCTTTCAGGTATTAAAGATTGCGGTATATTTAATTCAAATTGTGAAATATCGCAATCATTTTGAGACATATCAAACATATAAGTTAAATCAATATCGTATCTTGGTAATTTATCTCTTAAATAAGAAATAACATTCACGCCTAAAACAGCTTCTCTACTCATAATAAAACTGGATAAATATCGGGGACTTTTCGATTTTTCAGCACAATGTAAAAGTAATGCCCAGGAATCGTAATCCGAATCGAGAACGAACGTGTTATAGACGCCCTCATCTGTAAAAAATAGAAGAACAATATTTAAGAGGGAAGAGTGAGAAAAGAAAAGGAGGTGAACCGAATAGTTCTTCTGGTCTAATTCACTTCTTTCTCTCTCTCTCTGTTTCTCTAAAGCGGTTCTTGATATGCAGAACTAATTGATTTTAATACTCACATATGTTTTCTGAATGGGTCCAATGACTTGGAATTTTTTTGTTTGGTATCGTCCACGTTATGTTGCCCATTAATTGTTCATTTAGAGGGTCGTCGGTGAAACTGTATGTGAAATTCATTGTGACATCAACTATGTGGGGCGACATCGTGAATTCTGCTCTCATACATCTATAAGGAAGTGCTTCTTCGGATGTTGCGAAATATTGAATAACATACCATTTTCCTAAAAGCTACAAAATTTTTTTTTTTGACATTTAAAATGTCATATCAAACGTCAAAATTGATATTTTTGAATTTATTTAAAATTACTTTATGTAAATCGAAATGATTGATTGGTTTAACTTTCGGGCAATGTTTCTTGTCTTCAACATGTCTTCGAGATTCCGAAACCACCAGAAATAGCGCAAAAATTAACAAAATCAATTTTTTATTCATTTTGCTTATTTTGAGTTGTTGTTTCGTTTCTAGTTGATAAGAAACTAAAATCATGTCGAGAGTAATAATCGTTATCTGTTAAAGTGGGTGTTAAATTTCCTCTTCGTGATTTCCTTTATGAAGAGCACGTTTTGGTCGTTTTATTAAATATTCATTTAAAATCTAATTGTTTCTTAGAAAATCAAATCAAATAATTTAAATTTCAAAGTATGACTAAGCCGGTACATATTATTGAGTTAATTTATGTTTGAGAATAAAAAGGATTTAATATGTTTGCGTGATCGAAACGTGCACATCTCTTCTTGCGCTTCAGCCAACAATAGCTCGAAGGCACACTTCTACTTGACATATTAACATATATGCTTCGGTCTGACAATCGTGACACCATGTGTTCGTGTCAGTAAGAGTTCTTTATTTATTAATTTATTTTGTATTCAATAAGCTCTCAGTACGTGAAAAATTTGTTTCAATATCGTTATTATTTCTAGTTTGATAATTGTATTAATCGCTCACTTTACGATATGAGGTTGGATTCTTTTTAATGTATTGTAGACATTCTAGAATATATCGCTGGTACGCGTGCAAAGGGGTATATATCAAAAAAAATCATTTCAAGGAAAAGTGGATAAACGATTTCAAGTCAAACGTAGCTATTTGACTGCGAATGATATCTATCTACCAAGATGTTATTTATACATCGCTTTCAACCAATTCTTGATGGAATAGCTAAAAAAAAATAATATGTTTTATTAACATCTTAAAATAACTTAAATATTGTATTTAAGTTTCAATGAAATTCTTTTGAACTTGTCCTTGAATCCATACATTGGTTTTGACCTAGTATTTTTACTTCCTGCTGCGGTGACTGTGTCAGACTTGTCGACGTCGTTTGACCACCAGACAGAAGAAGACAGATTTTTCGTTAAGAACCAGGTAATCATTCACCGAGGACGATCCTCTTTCTCTACCACTTCTTTCATCTTTCGTTTTTTCATCTTTCTTTACCATTTTTCTTCATCCTTCTCTATGACTTCTTTCTTTTCGATCCTCAATAAGCTCTCCGACTCTCAACCGTCCGAGTTAATTGGTTTGACCTAAATCCTCGGAGACCACAGAATATGAAAGTATTGCATCACGAGTAATCGCTTTTGTAAGATCTTTTTCTTACTTCTTTTTCTTATCTAACGACTCCTTATGGACCTTGAGGAATCTACTAGTATTTATGTTCATTATTAACTTCCTTTTAATCTTCAATTTATGTAACTTTTTTTATGGTGTTTTTATATTTATTTTTTTTTTGTTGGTGAAGAATCCAGAGGTCACGGGCGTGTCTTTGAAACCTTGACCTTGTTTTCAGGTCTTTTTAGTATTCGTTTTAGGAACCGGGGCCGAAATCCGCTACGGCATCATCATTTACATCGAATTAGCGCCCAAAGAAGTCGGTCTTCTACGCGAAGGAATCGACCTGCAAGAGAATTGACCGTATTGGCGAGTTGTCGTACCCCAGATTTTTACGATAATTGTCACGGATTCTTTTCAACACTCCTCAATTCGATTTGGCACGTAAAAACACTATAATAATAAATCTTTAACCGCAAAAATTTTTGTAATGTGATAACAACGCCATGTCATAATTTTTTTTTTGATTAATTGTCAAAAAATAAAATTTTTCGAAAAAAAATTAATTTTTAATTTATTTATTTACTATATATTAAAAATTAATGATTTAAATATAAATATTATTACATAAAAAATGTTATTTCAATAATAATCTAAATTAAAAATAAATAAATAACGCCATCTCTTATTAATTTTTAAAATTGGTTATTTAAAGAAACGTCATTTCAAAGTTATAACCTCAAAAAATTTTTTTTATATTATTTATTTATTTTGCTCTAATTTTTTTCTCATTTCGTGTCTATTGGACGTCTGGAAACACGGAGACGCTCCTCTTCTGTAGGCCACGAGGCCCATACAGGCTGCGGGGCGTCGCATAACTGTATGGGGACCTGAATCTTTACCGTCTTTAGGTCACCGGTGCTCGGCTGGTGGGGCCCGGAGAAGCCCTCCTGCGAAGACAGGTGGAACACGCACTCGATCTTGAAGGCTCGCGGTAACCTGCCGGTGCAGAAGAAGTTTCGAAACACTTCAAAAAAGTTTAATACTTTATTTTTTGGAGGTTAAGTTTTATTCTTTTTAAGTGGAGTTTTATACCTTTTTTTACAAGTGTTATTAGAAAGACAAACTTAAAATTAAGTTATCTTTGGGATTAATATTTATTTATAAAAAAATTAACAATTGGTAAGTCAATTTATTGAAACAAATTTTTTTTTAATTATTTTTTTTTTATCTAGAATTATTTTTAGTTTTTTTTGGGGTGCTTAAAATGAGGATATCACATCTGCTTTTCGCCGGGCTATTTTTACAAAATGTAAGTAATTTTTGATTTGACGTTAAACGTCAATGTCACTAAATTAATATAGTGTATTCGAAAAGGCAGGACTGTACTTCGCATTTAACGTCATTAGATTAATAACCCTCTTTTTTTAAATTCACTGTATGTACCTGAAATGTTAACCTAAATTTTTTGTTGAAATCTTATTTCGATCTAAGAATATTCCCGTAAATTTATCAAAAACGTGTTAATTACCCAAATTACCCATACGCAACGTGTCCGTCATAAACCATTTAAGGTCTAAGAATCCCGTCCAAGTCGTTCTTTGACCATGTATAGAAGACGTTGGAGCGACGAAAGAAATTGAGGATGCTTACAGGATACGCTGCGAACAGTTTGATTGACGTATTACTGTTAGCTCGGTCCAGTTCCATCGTGGTGTTGAATTTTTCATTTTGCCACTCCAATACGTTCAAATAAACCTTGATTTTTTGGGTGGTTAAAAATCGATTCGATTTCGGTTAGGGTTCAAACCTGGAAATGAAAGGATTGTATCTTCAAATGCAAAACGGATGCAAAATCGAGAGTAAAGTGCAAGTGAAATGAATCGGAAAGAACGTTTCTCTTCTTATTCTTTTTATTTGGTGTAATAAAATGAACGTGATGAATTATTATGATTACGTGGTTTAAATTATTATTTTAATTATCATTTTATTTATAATTACCTTTTTTTTATTTCCTCAATGGAAAAAAAATACCTTTTTAGAGGAAATAACAAAAAAAAATAACCTAAATATGTCAACTAAAACGTCAAAAATTTGACATTTCCAAAAAAATTTAAAGTTTTATTTTAATATTAATAATTAATAATAATAATAGTAAACTTTTATTGCCTTTTTTGTATACTTATTAAGTGATAAAAAAAATTGGAATGGTCGTTTGACCGATTGACCTTGTCTTGAAGAACATCCGTGACCCCCTCCGCTTCGATCGCTTTTTACCACTTCTTCAGCAGCAGAGCATCGCTCTTTAATGGTAGAAGAAAGCGTTCGCCGGCTGATGATATTCGGGTCGACGACTATATGAATTCAGAATCAGCATAATTCGGGGCCGGGAATTGATATTTAATTAACTCCGACGATGTGGAGCAGACCATCGTCCTCAAGACCATAGCCCCCGGCTTCCATCCACTTCTTTTAACTGTTATTTCCTGCCTCCGGTCATTTCTTGACCCCACGCAAAAAAAAAACAAATTTACCTTTCAAATCATTTTTCTTTTCCAGCTTTTTTATGTAACCCTTGCAGAAGATGTAGAAGTCGTTGAGGCCATTCCCAGTAAAGAAGAACTTAACGAAATCCCTTTAGCCACCGACCGTGAAGACAACGAGCAAAAACCCGACCAAGTCGCGTTAGAATCGATGGAACAACAATTAAAAAACCATCAGTTTAATGGTGGCGGTCCAGTTCGAAACGGATTTCCACCAAGAGGAGGAAAACCTTTCGGAAAACCTCAATTTGACAAGGAAATTTATAACGGACCTCCACCACCTTTACCACTACGACAACACGCAATGGATAAACTCGGAAGTGTAGTTGGGGGCGGCGGAAATGATCTTTGGCCGAAACCCGTCTTGGATACACCAAGAGTTATTTCTTTGGATGCTAAATGCGAGAAGAATTTAATGAAGGTTTATTTGGAATTTGATAAACCTTTTTATGGAATTGTTTTTAGTAAAGGTAAATAAAATTTGAATTAACTTTTTTCTAAATGATTAAGAACTGCTCCAGAGCTATTCCAAATTGTTCAAAATCATCGAAAGGTGATTAGTTGGAAACTTATGCTAAGTTATCCTAAGAATGTCTAAACTTGTCTAACTTAGTAACAACTGATTTATGGAAACTTCAAGTTGTTCAAAACGATTGGACGCTATTTCGACATCTTAAAAGGCTGGTCTAAATGATTAAGAACTAGTTCATAGCTATTTCAGGTTGCTCAGAATCATGGAAAGGGGGTTTATAATCATTCAAAGCTTGTCTAAATGATTAGGAAGTAGCTCATAGGTATTTCAAGTTGTTCGTAATAATTAAAACTTGATACTAATTATTGAAAGTTTATCTAAATCATTGGGTACAAGTTTATAGCTATTCCAAGTTGTTCAAAATCCTGGAAATATGATTGTTAAGCATTGGAAAATTGTCCAAATGACAAAGAAGTCCTCCACAGCTATGTCAAGTTGTTCAAAATGACTAAAAACCAGATGGTAATAATTGAAAGGTTGTCTAAATGATTAAGGACATAGTTATAACTTTATCTCTTTGAATGGCAGAACTCAAAGTAGCTCTGACATTACATATTATTTAATATTTAATAATATAAATTTTGTTTTAGGTTATTTCAGTAATTTACATTGTATTCACGTCCCAGCTGGTTTAGGAAGGACAAGTGCACAATTTGAAATTGGAATACATCAATGTGGGACTTTAGGAAACACCGAAAATGGTCTTTATGGTTACGGAGCCGATTCAGGTTCCGGTACATTTTTCGAAAACATCATAATAATTCAATACGACCCTCAAGTACAAGAAGTTTGGGATCAAGCTCGAAAGCTTCGTTGCACGTGGCACGATCAGTATGAAAAATCAGTAACGTTTCGACCATTCCCCGTTGATATGATTGATGTGGTTCGAACTGATTTCGCTGGGGATAACGTTGGTTGTTGGATGCAAATTCAAGTTGGAAAGGGACCGTGGGCTTCGGAAGTTTCCGGTTTGGTAAAAATCGGTCAAACGATGACGATGGTTTTAGCTATAAAAGATGATGAATCTAAATTTGATATGTTAGTGAGAAATTGTATGGCGCACGATGGTAAGCGAGCGCCGATTCCTTTAGTCGATCAAAATGGATGTATAACTCGCCCGAAATTAATGTCCAAGTTTACAAAGATTAAAAATTTCGGTTCGAGCGCAACCGTTTTATCTTACGCCCATTTCCAAGCATTCAAATTCCCAGATTCAATGGAAGTACACTTTCAATGTACGATACAAATTTGTAGACATCATTGCCCCGATCAATGCATTGATTCAAACAATAATAATTATAACGATATTGAAGCGGAATACGGTCCACCATCGTCTCATCAACTTCCTTTAGATGCTTTCTTCCACGCAGGATTACAAAAGCGCGAAGATAGAAGAACGAGGAGATCTGTAAATCCAGAAACGGAAATTGGAGTTAATAAAGTTATTAGAGTTGTGTCAACGGGTGATTTAACATTTGCTTTGGATGAAAATTCGACGGCCACGGTGGCTCCGCCAACGATTATTTTCCCAGCTAAGGAAGAATTAAGTAATAATGGATTAATATGTATGACAACGCCCGGTTTTGCGGCTACTTTAATTATTTTATTGGCAATTTTAATCGTTTCTTGTTTACTTTCGGCGTTTTTGTGCGTTAAATTAAGGCCGAGTATTCAAGGGAACGGGTTATATGTTGGGGGGAAGAAATCAAAAAGTTGCTTTTATTCATAGGATTTAATGTAATTAATTTTTTGTAAACGCATAATATTCAATGACACAAAAATGTTTGAGGTTAGTTTTTATTTTGTTGAATATTATGATTGTTAGCTCTTTAAAAACAATTCTTTTGGTATTCTTTAAAAGAAGTTTGGATATTTTTATTCAAAATGTATTATTACCTGTTTTTTTTACCTTTTTTTGGAAAATATTTTCTTGTAGATATTAATAGATGTACATAGGATTTTTGAATAAGATGGGAAAGACTTTTTTAGAGTATTTAATTATAATTTTAAGTTGTTTTTTTAATTAAGAAGCCGAAAATGAAGGATTTTTACTCTTAATTAAAAAAAATTACAAGGAATAGATATTTATTTATTATTTATTTACGATTTGAAACTTTTAATTCAGCAGGACACCGAATTTTTTGTTCTCCTGGATTTGAATGATTAAAAATTAATTAACATAAATCCAAGTCATTTTTTGTAGTTGTATTAAAAAAATTTATAAATAAAAAATGTCGAAAACAAAGAAAACTGCAGTTTCCATTTTGATCATTTTATTACAGGTTTTTCGCTATCGATTAAAATAAACAAAAAATAATTATAAACGTGAATATAATAACTGCAATAAATACTATCTCGAGAAAAGAACGAAATTTAAATAAACAAACGTAATACTGTGATATGTTTTTTTATAAAAAAAATTAAGCAGATTAACTTTAAATCCACGTTATCTCATAAAAATCTTACAACCTACTCTAATCTAATACATTTTAATAAAAATATCTTTTAATTTAAACATCTTAAACTTTAAACAATGAGGTGTAATGTCTTTTAACTCTTTTTAATTAACAAAAAAAAACTTAAGCAAAAATACAAAATACAAGTAATACTATACAAAAAAGTACAATATGTACAAGTCTTAAATGAAAGTTTTCGAAATTAAACAACGAAAAAATTAAAAATAAAAAGAGAAATTGAAATAATCTTTTTTTTGCGTAAAATTTCTATTTACAACAAGAATTAGGAACTGGAGATGCGGAAAAGATAAAGACCAAGATTTTCTTCTTATTTCTACCATATCCCGAGTTTAATCTAAAATTCTAAAAACGAAAATGATTAAAACGAAATTAATTATTGAAAAAAATAAATTAGGTATTTTATTTAATTTTTTTACATTGTCATCTTCATTATTGCATTTTTGCCCACATTTTCACCTAAATCCTATAAAATTAAATTATTAAAAAAGATTTATTCAAAATTAAACAATAAAAAAATGGTTAACCCAAAAACTAATTTTAGGTTATAATTTACGTCATTAATGTCAATAATAAACATGAAGTTAGCTAAATAATATTTTTAGGTTAGCCATTTAATAATTTTTTTATTGTTCAATTTCACTTATTTCTTGTTTAACCTTCCCATTTTTAAAATCTTGTAAATTAACCCCATTCTTATTATTATTATCGTGTTTAAATAATTTCATAACATTCGTAAACGTCGATAATTGCAAAGTTTGACTTTCAATTATTTGTCTCCCCGATGTTGAATTTTCTTTTTGGAGTTGATACCGATAGAGTAAAGACACAGCTACTAATGTACTAACGGCAGCAGAAATCGCAATCATAACAAATAATGCACTAAAACCGGGAACGGGCATACAAATTCCATAAATAACTTCTTCGCGAATTTTTCCTTGAAATATCGTAACCGATTCAGTTTTAGCATCGGGACTGAAAGCTAAATCCGCTTCGGATATAACTTTGTAAATACCGGACACTCCAACATCAGCACTTCTCGTTTTCCTATCTAAAATTTGATGACGTTTTTTACGAGATTTAATTTTTTCGTTAATTGTATCTTCTTTTATTGTTGTTGTATCAGATAAATCCGATAAACTTCTTGGTGTTCCAATTTGTTGTTCTTCTAATTGTCGGGGTCCATGCGGAAATGGTCCTTTAAATGGAAGTGCAGCAATTTCATTTCCTACATCACTCGAAAATCGTTTATTTCCATTATTTTTTTTATTACTTTTTCCATTCGATGGAAAACCAGCTCCAATATCAATAGACGCCACATTATTATTATCGTCCTCAATCTTTTTGTTATTATTATTCGTATCTTTTCTTTCAATCGAATTAAAATGATCCTCAAAATCATTTCCCACACCATTTATTAATTGATCTTGACAATGATCTAAACATCCGTGACGACAAACTTCCACTTTACACTTGATGTGTACGCTAAGAGTATCGGGAAATTTAAATGCGTGAAAGAAAGCGTATGTTATTATTGAGGCTCTATCATCGACTCCTCGCGCTTTTAAGAACCTGCTAATCATTTTCGGGCGTAAAACGCATCCTTTATCGTCGGATAATTCGATTATGTGGTTATCTCCATCGGATGCTATACAAGACTTTACTCGCATATCAAATTCTCCTAAAAAATAACATAATCAATTAAAAAATATTTAATTTTTAGGGTAGGATTTTTTTTAATTACCTTTATAATCGTTTATAGCTACAACTAAAGTTAAAGTTGATCCTAACGGAACTATTCCAGTTACTGGTGGAGCCCACGGACCTTTTCCATGTTGGATTTCCATCCAACAATCAACATTATCCCCTAAAAAAAATAATCATTATTCATTTTACGGGATATACAGGTGTTTCATTCATATTTCATTTCAATTTAGTATTCATAACATTCCTTGAACACACATCAAACAATCAATTAATACGCCACCATACTCATGTTAATGCGTACTTCCCGTTATTTTCAACGTTTCTAAACTTGCATACAAATCAACCACACGCTCCTTCTTTCCTTTCTTTCTTCACAAAAAAAAATTTACATAAATCAATAAGCACCTTTAAAATCCAATTGGATAACATCTAAATCGGCAATAACCATCGGCGGTTTTGACGCTGTTTTCTCGTAATCATTGAACCATTCGCACCTCAGTCTTTTCGCTTCATCCCATACTTCCAATAAATCCTTATCGTATTGAACGACAACGGTGTTTTCGTAAAATTGACCGTGAAGATCCGGTTTTGTTCCGCATCTTGTGTACGCGATTCGGAACGAAAATGATGATTGCCCGGTTAATGGAGGCACGTAAACACACCGTGGGTCACCGTGTTGTCCTTTTGATGATACAATCCCTTCGAATGGATGTGAAAATGTTAAATGAACGTCCATGTGATCTTTTCCGCACATTACTTCTAATGATTGAATTGATGGCATATCTTCCGGTTTGTCCATTGGCCATAAATCTCCACATTTTATTAACTAAAAATAAAATTATAAATAAATTAAATGATTAATCTAAAAACATATTATGTAGCTAACTTCACATTTATTATAAGTACGAAGGCTTTCACGGACGGTGTTAATTAAACTAAAACTAGAATCATTCGGATTTAGCCGTCTTGAGAGACGTGCGGCTAAACCCCAAAGTTTCTAGTTCTAGGTCTAGTGTTTGTTCTAGTTTTAGTGCAATAAAAATATGCGAAGTGTCACTTTGAACGTGTTTCTGAAGAAGGTTGCAACATGGCGTCCGAAACGTCAAACATTTTTTCAAAAGACGCGAAAGTTTCTAGTTCTAGATCTAGTGTTAGTTCTAGTGATAGTGTTAGTACTTATAATAACTATTAATAACTTTTTAGATAATTCTAAAAAAGTAAAATTTTTTATGATCTTATTTTCCATACAATTCTTTTTTTATGAGTTTTTTTAGCAAGGCGTGTTTCTACTCCGTTAAATTAACATCCACGCGATAACCAAAAGTGATTAGCATAACGAATACGTTAATACATAATCTGAAATCTCAAGGAAGAATGAAAAAGAATATAGTAAAAAAATGGGCCACGTGGATCATCTTTTGAAAACTCTCGCCTCTCGATCTCGTCCTAATTCGCAACGTATCGCTTGCCAAGTGGTCCATACACGATGGTGAGCAATACAATGCCCTCGCAGCCGTATTCTAATAAGACTCGCGCGACTAATTGTACTTCACGTAATTAATCGTTGCGGTTGCGATGGAGAAATCCTTACGGTGGCGGACGTAAAGTCGACCCACAAACGGTTGCTCCGCAAGAAGTTCGCGCAGCCGAGTTTAGAGATAAACGCGGCCCATTGTCTAGCCGGAACCGTTAATAAACAAGCGGTTAATTGGACGCGAGCCGCAATTATCAACGCTCGGTCTGCGATCACCAACTGGTCTTTTCGGTATAATTCTATTTGAAAAAATTGTATTTCCTTGAAACCAACAATTCTAGACATATTTTTAAATAATTATTAATTTTTTATATTTAAGGTTATTTCTTATGTCAAAAATTTGTAATTTTATTTTTAATTTAAGTTGGTATTAATAATTTAACTTAATTCGAATAAATTAAAAGTTTTAATTAAAAGACATTAAATAATTAGTGTAATTACTAAAAATTAATCATGTTTTAAAATAAAACATAAAATATAAAGCAAAATCGTTTTAATCGAATCGTTTTAAAATAATTTTATTATTTAGAGGTTGCAATAACTGACATTTCTATCAATTTCGATTTTATTTATGTCATTTTGTGTTTCCCAATTTATTTCAATTTCATAATTTCCATTTTACATTAAGAAAAGACTAGTTCTTATTACGTCTAATTAATTTAATCAACTTATTTACGACGATTTAATGTGGTTATAACTAAAACTATTTTGAGGTTATTTTTTTCTAGTTGTCACTAGAAATTAATTTATGAGAGGCACAAGTTTTAATTTGTACTTAGTAGTTTTGTATCGATTAATTTAATGATAAATTCCTAGAAATTATAATCGAATGTACTTCTGAACATGTTAATTCGTTAAAATTATGAAACATGGAATTCTAAAAGAGAACTTTTTGTAAGTCTGTGTACTCTTATATAACCTGATTTTTTTTAGGTGTCTGGTTTATTACCCCATAATTTTACTCTTTATGAATATCCCATTGAACATTGGAGAGTATCAGAAACCCTATCGAATATAAATGGATCACCAGATTGACAAACATGTGATGAAGGTTCCAATTATCTCAAAACTCGATCTGTTTACAGCTTCATTAGCACCAGACACAAGAAATTGTGTTTTAATAGATCCTGGTGGTTTTCTTGCCTATTACACAAAGGTACCTTTATAACATTGTTCTTTTCTGCTTTCACTTGACAACTATTTACCTTTTTTCTATTTATTTTCAAAGATTAGAGTAAAATTTATTATTTAAACTTAAAAGATTACTTGTTTTTCAGCTACTCTACATATGGAGACGTGAACATTGTTAGCCCATAGCGTATAAAATACAAGAATTAATGATTAAGGTGTTACCTGATCATCAACGTTTTGTGCACAACATTTTCTTTCCCCAAATAACATTGCAAAGTGCTTCATCATCGACAGGAAACACTTTTTTGTCGTTTCCAACTACCTCCATTGAAGTTAAAATTGAATATGAACAAGAAGTTAAGATTATATAAACGTCTATAAGACTAGTTTAAAACCATTTATCTTTACAACGGAAGTAGGAAGAGAAATGAGCTCATGTTAACCGGAAATACTGTTAGATCGTTATATTATTACACCATCCGGTATGGTTTAGTAATCGACAACAAAAAAAAAGAACTTAGTTAAACTTTATTCAATTTCATTTGGAATTCAAATCTTTTCCTTTTTGTTTGTGAAGAAGGTTTTAGGTTGGAATTGTCGCCTTCGTTTTGGTCGTCGTCGTGTGAGATATGTATGTTGGACCGTTAGAAATTGTTGGACGTCGACGCCAAGACGCGTTTGACCGATGACCTACCGCCGGTTCTGCGCAAGAAAGCAGCAGCGCGGTCGCGAGAACATGATGAAATAGCGCAATCCTGACGGATTACCAAACGATTAACAAACAGGAAATAATACTATTAATACCCCGTAATTAATTAAATCAATTTTTGAAATTAAAATGTAATAAGGTTGAAATGGATCGTTACAAATGTGGTTATTGTTTGGTCTGTGATATGCATTTCAATTAAATTGGACTAAATAATGTTACCGTTAAATGATAAATAAAATAACTTTGTGTTACTCACCGTAAATAAACTAACGAAACACGACCAATACAGAAGACAAAACGTATACCTTCGAAGTCCTCGTGATGAATTTCGCATTTTTTTCTTTTACCCTGAAACAACCAAGGAAGAATTTAGTAAAATTGGTAAAAAAATGTAATTAAAAAAGAAAACCGCATCTTTAAAATAAAAAAAAATTTCAAGTTTAAGTTTTCTCGAAGTAAGATCTGAGATCATCATCCCGTTGGATGCCACACTCATTTTAAAGGCAGCTCTGCATTCGCACACGTGCTGCCACGCGTTAAGAAAGGCAACAGACACCATAGCACTGGCGACACACGATCGCCAATCCTGTTATTTTAATTAGTAACTGTGTATTAAGAGAGGCTCCTAAACGTCTTCCTCGTACCTCTGCAGGATGTTCTTTGCGTAATCTCCAGAACACCAATATAGGTTACCAGGACAACGAAGAAAGAAAGAAATAATCTTTTCAAATTCGTACGATTTTGTTCGCGACCGATTAATTAATCGGTTAATTTGCATGTCTGAGAGATTGCGAGAGTGAAAACGACTCGAATGACGAGATCTGATCTTCGTTTTTGGTGGCGTTTTACGACCTCAAAGTGAACGAGATTGCTTTAAACCGCGTAAAGGTTTCTATGCAAATTCAATTTCCCTTTCATTTTAACAATTATATATATATAATTTTTAAATAATTATTTGAAATAGAGAAAACTGTGCCGGGATTTTATCTAGATGGTCTTTTTGCCTTCCTTCTGTCGACGATAAAACGGTAATTGAATTCGGATAAAGTGAAACGCAATATTAATAACGGTATAAATTGGTTAGGATACCAACAAGACGAAGAAGCAGGAGGATCTCGGACATCTTCTCGATGTATATAGAAAATTTCCGGAAATAATAAGAAAAGCCGTCGGAATGTAAAAGACTCGTACCGTCTTCGAGCCAATGCCATTTGCGTCGGGTTCCAGCCACAGCTGTCCGTTATGTCAACGCCGTACCCTGTATAATGGCTGAAGACAAGAAAAAAAAAGGGAAAGAAATAAAAAAGGGAAAGAAAGAAAAAGACGAAAAATGCGTGACCTTTAATTAATAGAAGATAACATTATTTTTTTGAATAAAATTCAATCTTACCTTCCAAAGGTCGTCCGTAACCCAGGATTTTTTCTTTAAATTCAGATCATATTTATCAAATCAATTATTATCGTGGGTACATCACTCTGCGCTAAGAAACCGACGTCGCGACGGCCAACAACGTGTGATTCAATGCTCAACAATACTCTACGTCCGGCAAAGAAGAACTGCCGAGCAGACTGATGGTGTCCAGTTATCCCGGCGACTTCCTTGGCCGTTCGGTTACGTCAGGCCGTCGCCGAAGAACGAGGAAAGAAGAAGGAAAAGGTGACGGTGATGACGAGGAAGATGAGAGAGAAGGTGGCCCCATCGCCAGTCTGCCAACAGACGCACAGACTGGTAAAGGCCATCGACATTGCCCACTTTAAGCTCTTGAGACTCTTAACGTACGTCGACCGAATTTCGAGACGTACCGGTTCGAGTTTTCGGCCAGAATTGATTATTGTAACCGGGCGTGTGTGTGCGTGAGTCTGATGTAACCGCTCCGTTTTTATATTCGATGAATAAGAATAAATTTATATCGAATTATAATTGAATCAATAAAAATCTAATTTAAATGACATTAGCTGTCATTTTAAAATACATAACCTAAAAATATCCAATAAAAAATAACCTTTATAAAATAATTTATATCAAATTATTGAAATAATATTCACCAAAAAAAATTGCGCCAATCTCTTAATAATATTATTCAATATTTTATGATTAAATCCAGACAATATCAGGATACTTTTCAAATTTGACATTTCTAAAAAATAATTACCGACAATACAGATTCCTAATTTATAACAACCAAATTTATTTTCTCATCCAAATTCTAATAACTAAATCTCCCTTTATATCATTATTTGTACAACAATACATTTATTATAACATTTTTAATTAAATTTCTTTTACTTCAGATTTTAATTATTTCAGTAGTACCAACATAAACTTCCTTTTTTTAATTTCGTTAAAATTTTTGCATTTAAAATCATTTTTCTCATAAAAATCCAAAATCCCAAATCATTTCTAATTTTAAATAAACGTTCTGTATTTTTTTTAATAATTATTTAATCGGCCACATTTTTCTTTAAAAAGTTACCTAACCTCAATGCGATAACTTCCTCGTTAAAACCAATTATCATAAATCGGATTAAAAAAATAAATAAATAAAGTGCAAAAGATCATCAAACTTTAATTTTTAATGTTACGTGTACTTTTATAAATAGAAATATCTGAAATCGTATAAATAGCACTCTTAGCCAACATAACCTCAACTCGTTAAAAAAAATGTCAAGTTCGAATTTGTGCGAAAGTCCGGGTTGTAATTTGCCGGCGAAACTTCAATGTCCCACGTGTAGACAGTTGGGTATTCAAGGGTCGTTTTTCTGTAGCCAGGAGTGTTTTAAGGGCAACTGGAAAACTCACAAGATCATCCACGCTTTAGCTAGTAAGTAAAGTGATGCTGTCTTGGCTCCTCAAGCAGATTCGACCAGGTATTGTCAACCAGATTTGGATGTATAGAGCGTTGCGTTATTAATTTTTAGAGGGTGAAGCCGTTGATGGGAAAAAAGAAAATGGGTATAATCCGTGGCCCCATTACAATTTTACCGGAGAATTAAGACCGTTTCCTCAAACTCCTATAAGGACCGTACCCGATCGTATCCCTCGCCCAGATTATGCTGATCATCCAAAAGGTTTCCCGTTATCTGAACAAGCTGTTAAAGGATCTAGTCAAATTAAAATACTAGATGATGAAGAAATTGAGGGAATGCGAGTTTCTTGCAAATTGGGGCGTGAAGTACTTGATGAAGCTGCAAGGGTTTGCGATGTGGGTGTAACAACCGATGAAATAGACAGGGTTGTTCATGAGGCTTGTCTCGAAAGGGATTGTTATCCATCTCCGATGAATTATTACCAATTTCCAGCTTCTTGTTGTACTTCTGTTAATGAAGTTATTTGTCATGGAATACCCGACACTAGACCTTTAAAAGATGGGGATTTATGTAACGTTGATATAACTGTGTATCATAATGGTTTCCATGGGGATTTAAATGAAACGTTTTTTGTTGGAAATGTTTCTGAGAAACACAAAAATCTTGTTAAAGTAACCCACGAATGTCTTATGAAAGCCATTGAAATGGTAAAACCGGGAGAAAAATATAGGGAAATTGGAAATGTTATACAAAAACACGCTCAAGCTAATGGATACTCAGTTGTGAGGAGTTATTGTGGGCATGGAATACATCGTTTGTTTCATACAGCCCCGAATGTTCCTCATTATGCTAGTAAGATAATTTTTTATAACCATTATAAATTATAATTAATTACTGTTTAATAGAAAATCGAGCAGTTGGAGTAATGAAACCAGGACATTGCTTTACTATTGAGCCAATGATATCAATGGGAACTTGGAAAGATGAAATGTGGCCTGATAAATGGACTGCGGTTACTGCAGATGGACAATTCTCAGCTCAGTTTGAGCATACTTTATTAGTAACCGAAACTGGGTGTGACATTTTAACAAAGCGTAGAAATGAAACGGGTTTACCACATTTTATGGATAAAATGTGATTTTATTAAAAACGAAAATATGTATCCAAACCAAAATGTAACGATTCAGTGCCTAAATAAAGAATTAAAAAAAAATTTGATTTATTTAATGAGCTCCATCTATCGGAATTTTGGACAATTAAATGTCAATAATACAGATTTCAACTGATTTTTAGGTTAGAATGAAGAAAAAATTTTAATTTTAAAAGTACGTATTAAAAAAATTAAATTATATTAAAAAATATCACTATTAAAAAAATAACTAACATTATAAATTATAAAAATAGAAAATCATTTTCCTTTTTTTTTAAATTCTAACATCACCAAAAGGAACGGCTTTTTCCTCATTTTTATTCTTGTTAATTTCCTTTTCATATTCTTTATCATCCATAACTGAAATAATTTCGTGTTCTTTTAGGCCACTATAATCATTGCCTGGATGTTTTCGCCACTCAACATTTCCAAAACCAACAACACTATGCCGCTCCGGTGGTTGAGGAGATGGTCCCTTACCATAGTAAGTTCCTTGAGGAGGAACTTGATCGTTTAAGTCTTCCCGTGATGCTTTAAAAACCTTGCTATTACGACCACTTCCCTTTGGAGAAGCACCACGGGATTTGATTACACGCTCTTGGTAAGGTTGATCGGGATTTCGAAGAAAACGTTCACAACATCGACCAGCTGGTTTCGATAAGATACATATACCTACTATTAAAATAATGATACCTAGAAAATCGGGGAAATAAAAACAAATCAGGTGAGATTAGAAATTAATTTTTTCTTACACAAAGCTGTTGGAAGTGTTACTGAATATAAATAAGTATTGCTTTGTTTTTCATGATTCCCTTCCGGTGGTGATTCACCGTCTTCTTCGTAATCGTCCGGAAATAAAGTTGAATTTGAGGTTGCATTATCACTTTTTCTCTCTTTTGATCTCGGGGGTGCTTCTTCCTTTTCTTTTTGTGTTGGGCCAGTTTCATTATCATCTCGTTTAATAATATTTAAGATTACATTTTGATCGTTATCGACCATTAAAGGGTCGTAATTAACGTTTTGTAATTTTCTTAAAAAATTTGCAAATTCAAAACCGATTTTTGGGTCGCGTTTGAAATCATTTTTATTAGCGGTGGTACGGTTTTCGGTACCACCGCTATAGAATAAAAAATAATACCCATCATCGTCGACTTTTTCAGTGGATTCGTTCCGTTTTTCTTTTACATCTTTTTGATACGAAAATTTTTTTAATTCTTTTGGCGATTTTAAACTCTCCAGCCACTAATAAAAAGAAAGTGAATTTCATTGTTTGTAGACGCAAGGCTGAACCCGAATGTTTCTAGTTCTAGGTCTAGTGTTAGTTCTAGTTTTACACCATCACTAGAATTAACACAAGACCTAGAACTAGAATCGTTCGGGTTTAGCCGTCTTGAGAGACGTAATAACTCATTAATAATAACTATTTAACTTTAATAATAAACTCACAGGAGGTGGCCCCCTCTCCGCATTACCCCTTTTTTTCAACGCTTCATCTCCACTTTGAGATGTACGTTGTAACTCCAAAATCATTTCGTCAAAATCATCCCCAACTTTACTTAAATTAGAAAAATTTCCATTTATTATGTTCCCCTCGGTAGTTTTTCCAATTTTTTCATCTCCATCTAAATCGGAAACCCTCAAGATCCTAACGGCGCCACCAAATGATGTGTTTTGAGTCGAATTTTCAAAATTAACCTTCACTCCTTCATCCATGCCCTTTTTTATTCTGTTAGCGTTCTTTTTCTCTTTTAAATCATCACTTTTTATTACTTTTTCTCTAGTTATTTTTGGATGTAAAATTGGTTCGAAGTGGTGATTAGATCTCGTCCGGATAATTCTATTAAAACACATGCAAGTTCCTTCTTGCGACATCGGGTGTGGATGGATCTCTAAATCCGTGAAAGTCTCGCGAGGGGATCTAAACGTTTCATCAATCCTTGAAAAAACACCCTTACTTCCGTTAACTAAATCTCCTAATGCGTCCGAAAAGATATCCGGTGATCGTTTTCGCTCACTTTCTCTCGGAAAATCTTCATCATCAATATCTTTTCCGGCCGAAAGTAAAATGTAAAGGAGAAGATTTTCCATGGGATTTATTGGAGACATAAATCCGGGACTTGAATGATAAATGTTACTAACAATTCTTGGTTTTGAATATTGCCTTTTTATTATTAAGCTGGTTGAAGGATTTTTCGTTGTGTTTGAGATATTAAAAGTCGTTTCAGTGGGGAATCCATGTGATAAAACTAAAATTACAACATTTTTTTTAAAGGTTAGAACCATTTTAAAACTTACCTATAAAAGAAAATATGTAAAATAGTTTATTCATAGTTTTTTATTAAAAAATATTGTAAATAGACATTTCTAGTTTTATTGATTTTTCTTTGTTTCTAGCCTTCTTTATTTATTTATATCGGGATTTTCATATAACTCGGAATATATGAATGTAGTACCATAGTTACGAAACTACGATGCGCTTGCAATATTCCACATAAAAGGCAACATAACTTAATAGTACAGGCATTAGGTAGTTTTGCAAAAGAAAAGTTTTGCTTGGAAAAGGTGACGTCCTACGGCTAAACCCGAATATTTCTGGTTCTAGGTCTTGTGTTAGTTTTACTTTTTGTTCAATAAAAATATACCACAATCTAACGCTGAATAACAATTAAAACTAACACTAGACCTATAACTAGAAAGTATTGGGTTTACACGTGCGTTAAAGAATGCAACATAGTGATATCTTATGCTATCTAGCGCTACCTATCATTGTCACTATAACTAACATTAGACCTAGAACTAGAAACATTAGGATTTAGCCGTACGTTTTTCAAGACGGCTAAACCAGAATGATTCTAGTTCTAGTGATAGTGTTAGTGTAAAACTAGAACTGAAGACGCACGGCTAAACCCGAATATTTCTAGTTCTAGGTCTAGTGTTAGTTCTAGTTTTAGTTCAATAAAAATATGCAACATAGTGATATTTTATACTAACTAGCGCTACCTATCAGCCATCTTAACAGAGGTATGGCTAAACGGAATGTTTCTAGTTCTAGATCTAGTGTTATCTAGTTTTATTTGTTATTCAACGATAGATTATTGTATATTTTTATTGAGCTATAATGGACACTGTGTTATATCCGTTATATCGAGATTTTACTGTAATGTCAAATTATATTGACATGTTGCATTTTATGTTTTTTGTACAGGGTGATTCACATAAGAACCGGAACAGAGCAGGGACATGTAGAGGACAATAAATTAAGATGATTTAAAGTAACTTAACTCTATACTAAGTTGTACACCTGAGGAGTTATAGGACTTCAAAGTTGGCTCTTAAATTTTTAAAAAGTTCAATATCTTCGTAATAAATTAAGCTAGAAAAACCAAATTTGGTATACGTTATAAGTGTACCAAGAGCATTAATTGGTAGCAAATTGAACTCAATTGAGGCATTTCAAAGTGTTGATTAAAGCCCCCCATCGACGGTCGAACATGTTGACCAACTTCCAACCCAACGTCGAACCCAACATGTTGGGTGTGTCCATCCACGATCGAACTTCACATCGAGCATGTTGGGACGACCTCATTTGTGCGATGGATCTTGAATCGGTTACAGCTCTATGCGCGGATGTTATATGTTTAAATAGAAAGAAAAAAAGGAAACCTCCACGTGTGTGGGCCAAGAAGTGGCTATTAGAGCGAAATAGTTTCAGCCACATGTCGTTATTGACTGAAATAGCTACCAATGAGCCACAAGACTACAGAAACTATTTACGCATGAATGAACAATGTTTTGAAGATCTACTTGAACGAGTTTATAATCTTCTTAAAAAAAAAAATACGAATATGAGAGAATCCATTTCTGTTAAGGAACGCCTTGTTGCCACACTTCAATTTTTAGCAAGTGGTAGAAGCTATGAAAACCTGAAATACAGGCACAAAAGATCGGCACAAACGCGCCACAAAAGTGCACAGCTATTTTTGATGTTCTCAGAGACGACTTCTTAAAGGTAAGCACACCATGATTAACATAGATTCGTAGACAAATTACAGATATAAGGTTAATTAACTACAAAAAAATATAACTATAATATCGATAAATTCGCTCCAAAACTTCTTATTATCGTTAAAAGAGATTTTAACCCAATGTAACTCCAATGTAGTGTAAACACTATTAAAAGATGCCTAAACTGACGTCATTCTCGTCGAGCCGCTCGACGGTTGACCATCCACGATCGAACATGCTCGGTGTTGGGCTCGAGTTGGCCATAGCTGTCGAGCCGAGCGCCCAACCCAACAAATCAGTCGAGCATGTTGGAAGCGCGTCCATCGACGGTCGAACATGTTGGCCGAGCCGCTCGGACCCAACATGTTCCACCGTCGATGAGGGGCTTAAGGGTGATGGTACCTTAAATTTTGACAGATCTTTTTAACCTGTTGACGGATTTTATACATTACTACTTCATTTCATGTGGAATTTAATTCTAAAACTTTTTTTACTCTTACTATTTTTTAAAAAACTTTGTCGTTTTCATAAAAAACTTAAATAACTAAAGACACTTATTTCGTAATGTTATTTAAAATAAGCGAAAATTCAGTAGTCGGCTATGAAATTGTACGTCAAACTTGACAAATAGGTTATAAAATTATTTGACAACAAGGTTTTATAACCTATTTGTCAAGTTTGACGTACAATTTCACAGCCGACTACTGAATTTTCGACGATTTTAAGTAGCATTAACGAAATACGTGTCTTTAGTTATTTGAATTTTCTATGAAAACGACAATGTTTTTTAAAAAATAATAAGAGTAAAAAAAGTTTTAGAATTAAATTCCGCATGAAATGAGGCAATAATGTGTTAAATCCACCAAGAGGTTAAAAAAATCTGTCAAAATTTAGGAGACCATCACCCTTAATCAACCCTTTGAAATGCCATAATTGGTCTCAATTTGCTACCAATTAATACCTTCAGTACACCCATAACGTATACCAAATTTGGTTTTTGTAGCTTAATATATTATGAAGATATTCATTGATTTCAAAATTTAAGACCTTTGATTATACAGTGTGTCCCCGGATAGGTGAAACGACTCTTATAAAATGTAAATTTTTTTCGATATTAACTGTCATCTTTTGGGGTTCAGGCCTGCTTGATTAAAGACTGATTTTGAACATATTTTCAAATTTTAAAAAACAAGTGAGTGTTGATACTGAAGCTAAAACTTCTTGTGTGTCAGGTAAAGTACCTTTTCTGTTTANTCTTTTTAATCGGTCAGTACTTAGTCTACCGTTAGACTGATCTAAAAGCCAGCAGTACGATGACTTTTTAATAATTGAAGAATTTTTACCGACAATGAGTTTTACATATGGTGATTTTACCGATACATTTTGCACTTTTTCGGAAAAGTCTTTTAAACTTATAGCATTCGTTCCCAAACTATCACATTCGCGATCTTCATTAGAACTCTCGTTAGAAATTAAGTCCATAACCTCGTCCATAACTATATCGTCATCATTACTGATATTATTCGTTTTTGCCACATCTTGGTCAATTTCATTTTTTTCGGGGTTTTCGTCAGCTTCAACGTCGTCTTCGTCGATGTCTTCATTCTCCTGTGTTACTTCGTTATTTTGTTTGTGTCTTATTAACGGTACTTGCATATATTTCCAATCATTTTCTTGTGCATTGATTCCAAATTGTTTCATGTCCTCTATGACATTTTGTAAAGCTTCTTCAACTGTAGCTTTGATATCCAAATTGAGAATTTCTTTTTCACGTGGTAAATTTTCTTTCTTCAGGCTGTTTTGTAATCTTTTGTCTTCCCTTGGAAATGTAAAAGTTCCCCTAAGATCGTTTATTGTATCAATTGTTGTCTTAATTCTCTCAACTCGGTTTAGCATATCCTTTGTACTAAAATCTATTATTGTTGGTCATGGACCTGGCAGCCCGAAATAAGGATTCACATGCTTGGCTACCAAAAATACCGATACTGAACATCTCTGGTTTTAACTCACCGCTTTTAAGCTTCCATATTAGTTTAATCAAAGCGTGGGCGTTCATCTCGATACAAAGGTAACAATTACTGGTTAAAAAGTTATCTGTTATTTTATATTCTTTTTTTCCTTGAATCCAGGCTCTCTAGATCCTAGTAAAAAATACAACATACCAGATGCGATATAATCTAGTACCCAACTCAGTGCTGGAATTTAAGAACGACGATTCGATGTAGTACATTAGCTTAAGATACGCCACACTACCTTCACTTTGCGGAATTTCCTTATTCAGTTGTTCAATTACTATCAAACTGCACATTTTTTCTGCGGATGCAAAATTCATCTTGTCTTCACTTTTGAGATCAGAATCTGTCAAGAGATGTTTGTCTTTTGGAACCTTTAAGATCAATTCCCTGAGATGACTAGAGGTGGCAGTGTATTTCCCAATTGGCAAATTTATTCCTGATTTTAGGAAACGAGTACGCATTTTTGTTAAAATATGGGTGGTGTCCTGTACATAACATTCATCATTTTTTTCGAAGTTGCAGTGGAGTAGCTCAGAATCTTTTGGGGTTGTTTTGTTATTTTTTTTATATTCAGGTGCTAAACGAGACTTCAAAGTATTTAAATGCATAGCTCTTAAAAGCCGAGTATCGCCGTCTGAGGAAAATCCCATAATTCTGATGCCAAATTTTTTAGCTTCCTCCTTCATCCATCCAGGTTTAAGTATTTTGGGAAGTTTGTATGTCGCGTTGCAGAAGCAGGTTACTTTGGAGAAGATACTGTCATGTTGGTCCAACGAAGTTACAACTTTAATATCATCAAATTTATGCTGAAGCTTTTCCCATAAATTAGTTTCTGCTTTCGATTTTGCCCACGCCTTCAAATTTCGAAAAATTAAAGCATTTTCATCTGTTAAGTTCACGGCTCGGTTTACGACAGGTCTCTGATTAATAATCCCCCTGGGATTATCCTCGGGATTGTCTAATTCCTCAGGAGATTCTTCATTTAAAAATTCTGAATTTTCAACAGAAGTTTTAGCCCTCTTCTTAGGAGCCCCTTCTTGATTACTAGACACAGATCTCGGCACAGATGCTTGAATTTCTTTTTTGTGTGATTTTCTTTTCTTTTTGAAATATTCGACCATCCAATGTAGGACCTATTGGTGTGCTGGTAACATTTTGTAAATTTTCGGATTTCACTTAAATTTCACGTAAATTTTCGGTCACTTCTCACTTGTGATATTCCACTGTTCTCGATTTATTTATGCAAACAGGGAAATAACTACACCCATGCGTTTGTAGAACCAAAATCAAAGAGGGCGATCACGCGTTAGCAGTTTTATGCGACACGACGCCATTTTGCGCAATCTACTTCGCTTCCAGATTCTTCCAATTTTTTTCTAATTCCATACTAATTCCCCACTAATTCCCTACTAATTCCATTATTCTCTATTAATTCCCCGAATTTCCAGAGTAATTCCCCAAATTCCCCACTAATTCCTCTAATTCCTTACTAATTCCTGAAGATTGTACACCAAAATTCCCCTGCGAAATACCCCTCGATTTAACCACTTCCTCTACCGAACGTCCGCAAATATAGCAAATCCTATTCATTTCGGTCACTGTATTTACAAGGTTTTAATTGAATCGTTTATTACAAAATGGGCCTAAGTCACATTACTAGAGTTTTGAGAAAACTAACAAAAACTATTTTATTTTGAGCAGCAGCAGATTTTTCAAAGTTTTTATATATGAACTGTTTTATTAGATAACAGTCTTATATTATTTAGAATTTAGTGGAAAATGATAAGATTGGGGTCACTGTATTCAAGATTAAAGGTTCAGGACTTAGGTCCTTTTAACAATAAATGGCATTTTAGCTATCTTTTTTTAAGTTTATTTAAAGAAATTCAAAAAATTACAAGTAATATAAAAGTTTAATTTGCATCAGCCGAATTTTTGTTCTTTCCCTTCTTAGTTTTCCAATTTTTGATAATGTCTTCAAAAAAAAGTTTGTGTTCTTCCGTTACCCATCTGACTAGAAGTTTCAAATGCTTTACTTTCGTTTCAAGAATGGGAACCTTATCTTCAACATAGGCTTTCATAACAGGCAATTTTAAGTTACATGTTTTATTTGGCATGGCTAGTTTAAAATGATGCTGTAAAAAGCTATTATTAATAAATTCGGATG